TCTGACGTCATAGTTCCCCCGCTCTAATGGGATAGTTTTGGGCTAGTTTTGAGTAGCGATTGGGCAGGTTTTCTTGTGAAAACCTGGCAACCCTGGTCATTTAGGACTGTCTAAGTCAGGGGTGTCAAACTCAACTCCTGGAGGGCCAGAGCTCTGCAGAGTTTAGATTCAACCCTAATTAAACACACCTGATCCAATTTATCAAGTCCTTCAGGCTTATTTGTAAATGACATGGTATATGTGTTGCAGCAGGTTTGGAACAAAACTCTGCAGGGCTCCGGCCCTCCAGGAACTGAGTTTGACTAGGGCTGGGACAATAAATGGATGCATCGCGAATCGAGAAAGGATTCTGCATCGATTCTGAGATTTTCCGAAGGCATCGCCATTCTCTCTTGAATCGATTCTGAGCTTAGTTTTTAACAGCAGATGGCACTGCATGCTTTAGAAATAGTCATATTCTGCTTGCTTCCAGTTCTTTACACACGCACAATTTAAACCTAAAATAATCATTCATAAAGTTCGAAAAGGTTGAAGTGAATTACAAGGATGTTTGCAGTGGGCTGTGTTTACATTAATCTTGCATCATAAAAGCCGATGTGCAAGTACATTTAACCTCTTACATTACACTCTAAAAAATTCTGGGTTGTTTCAACCCAACTTTGGGTCAAAGATGGACTAACCCAGCTGCTGGGTTACATTTTTTTATTAAATTTTTAACCCAAAAGTTGGGTTAGTCCATATTTGACCCACAAGTTGGGTTGAAACAACCCAGCATTTTTTAGAGTGTACTCAGCCGAACGCACAAGCTTTCTTCTTCGTGAGCATTTGAGTGTGCCGTTAAAAACTAGCCTAGAGCACCATCTGCTGCTAAAAACTAAGCTCAGAATTGATTCGAGAGAAAGTCACAATGCATTCCGAAAATCTCAGAATTGATCCACGAATTGCGATGCATCGATTTATTGTCCCAGCCCTAAGTTTGAAACCCCTGGACAAACTCATTTACGACTGTGGTTACGAGGTCACTGGCCAAAAACGAGTATTTTGACATAATTGTGTGTGTTTTTGTCATAGACTGCATAAAACAGGTTTTTGTCCGCGAAAGAGAAATCACTGCGCTTCTCGCGCTACTGGCTCACTGTCTGAAGCTGCTTTCTGTGCGCGTGCACGTGTCGGATTTACAGAGAGCTGATCTCAGCACCAGTAACTTCACTTTTGCGTCTTATCGTGCTTGATAGCGTGTTGTTCATATAGTCTACTGTAATGATAGCCAAAGGGATGCCAGGAAAAAAAATGGATGCTGCGTTAAATATTTTTAACATGTAAACTGAAAAAAAATGAATCGCTCATCCATTAATTTTGACAGCCCTAGTTTTATATTATATTATATTATAGACAACAGTTCACTCCACTTGACAACAAGTGACTGTCTTTTGCATATCTGTGAGTCTTCAACCGATTCTTTGAAAACACACAAGACCCAAACACCACAGCTCATTTTGGAATAGCATACTACTCGTACTCTTTCTGCCATATCATAAGCAAGTCCTGTCCTCACTGGGCCTGTCTGTTGTTTCACAGTGCCATGCATCCACTTTGAACCTCCTCTCATTCTGTTGCGAAGGTAAACTGGCATGTTAAATGATTTCTGCCCTTAACTGCGATCGTGGCAGCTCTTATCTGCTGATATCAATTTCGCTTGCTACTCAGGCACACGACCATTGGAGGCACCATCACATTTTATATGCTTGATAATGGTTTAATATACCTTAAATAAAAATAATTCATATGATTTAATAGATATCCTTATTCTGAACAACTTTTTTAAAGTACTGGTATCAGTCTGATTATTTGACACACACAAAAAAATCGACTTTGCAAGCTTGTCCTTGTCCTCCATCTAATGAAAAGGGTGATTTTCTTTTTTTATTTCATCGGTCAATAACTTTCAAAAACATGTTGAAAATTCTATTCAGCATGATTTCCACAGGATCATTGATAGTTATAGTGTAGCTTAATATCCTCAAAAATCTGTCACCAGAATTAAATATCCTGATTTTGACAAAACTTCACATATCTGTGTAAGGTGTGAGTCTTTGGAGGCATGTAAAATTTGTTTCCGAACAAAGGCCATAATGCAATAAGAAGACTCATTTTACCATCATTAAATAAATTACCACTTTTTCTGCCAAATAACAATAAGCACAAACACTGAAACTGGTTGAGAACTTCATATGAGCAAATGTCAGACGCGCAATAAACAAATCAAATATGATTAAATGGACATTGCGGAAGATCAAAGCAAGAATTACAGTCACTCATTGTTTACTTAGCAAGAAACTAACACCAACAATAACATCAAAAACATTTAATACACTGTATAACATAGAATGCATAGATTTTGTATGCTGGAAATTGTAATACTTTCATCAAACTTCTACAAAATATTTTGGGATAAATATTGATATAGTTCTTGCAAAATGTATAATTATATAAATTTTCCATGCAGCTTGTGCTCTATATTATTCAAGTATTCTAAACCCATACAATCATCTATGGAACAGACTGAAATATAATTCATCAGTCACTGAAAATCTCCAGAATTCCCGATCTGATTTGTTTCAATGGGTGGTCATTTCATTTGTAAACTACTGTGAGATTTGTTTTTCATGAGACCAGGTAGGTTTGTACAATAAGTGCTTTCTGAAGTCGTATAAGCTATTCACGAAATAAACATAACATTTAAGGTGGATTGTATTTGAGAAGGACTGTAGACTATTGATGCAAGAACTCTTACACAACACATACAGTGTTCAGAATCAC